TGTGTAGGACATGAATGTACTGCAGCTTTTGCTTCCATTTCTCAATTTCACTGGAGAATGAAATAATTAAATCTTTTAAGATTACACTTGTATGTTTTTTACAGAGTACCATTTTTTTCTCACTACCTGATAAAATTATACCTTATTGCAACATTGTGTATGCTAGAGTTTACATTTTGAATAAGAACCACCTATGTCTCAAGACAGACTGAACATAGAAATATAATTCCAACAAAATATCAATATTTTTGGAATTTTTTTTTTTACAGGGGAGCATTTTTGTGAAGTTATAATACTTTGCATGTCTTTTATTAAATATATTTTGAAAGAGTGTTTGGGTGCATCAATACATTCATGCTTTTTAAAGGCCTGTGTCTGTATGCAATATTTTTGTGATTAATCTGGTACATCCTTGTTGTAAGAGTTATCCTTCTTTTACAAATTAGAAACCAGAATAATATCACATTTTTTGGAATATATGCTTTTTTGAGTGGGTGTCTGTCATTTTTTGTGATCTGATATCATTTATTTTATGAATAAACTGTTATATACACTACAAGCTCTTTTTTTTCATTTTTTAAGTTCCTTTCCTGTGTAGAATGGACAAGAAATTTTTACGAAAGATTGATTTATTAGCTCACCTGAGCCGAAGGATCCTGTGAGCTTTTCTGATCAAAATTTGTCCGTTGTCTGTCGTCGTCGTTGGTGTTGTCGTTGTCGTCGTTAACTTTTCACATTTTCGACTTCTTCTCAAGAACCACTGAGCCAATTTCAACCAAACCTGCCACAAAGTATCCTTAGGTGAAGGGGATTCAAGTTTGTTCAAATGAAGGGCCAAGGCCTCATTCAAGGGGAGATATTATGAATTAGTGAAAAATTAATGGCATTTTTAAAAAATCTTCTTCTCAAGAACCACTGGGCCAGGAAAGATGAAACTCATGTTGAAGCATCCTCAGGTAGTGTAGATTCAGGTTTGTTCAAATGATGACCCCCGGGGGTAGGGTGGGGCCACAATAGCCAATCAAAGTTTTACATAAGAGTATATAAGGAAAACCTTTAAAAATCTTCTTGTCAAGAACCACTGGGCCAGGAAAGATGAAACTCATGTGGAAGCATCCTCATATAGTGTAGATTCAAGTTTGTTCAAATCATGACCCCCGGGGGTAGGGTGGGGCCGCAATGGCCAATCAAATTTTTACATAGGAGTATATATGGAAAATCTACAAAAATCTTCTCAAGAACTACTGGGCCAGGAAAGAAGAAACTCATTTGGAAGCATCCTCATATAGTGTAGATTCAAGTTTGTTCAAATCATGACCCCCGGGGGTAAGGTGGGGCCACAATGGCCGATCAAAGTTTTACATAGGAGTATATAGGGAAAATATTTATAAAAATCGTCTTCTCAAGTACTAGTAATTCAAAGCTATGATAAGTGATAGTATAGGAAGAAAATGTTTTTAAAAGATCTTTTTATCAAGAACAGCAAAGTTATATGCTGTATCAATATGAAGACATTCTAAAGTAGTATTAAATTCAAGCCCCCCCCCCCCTCCCCTTTAAGTAAACTTTTCAGTTCTGATCTGATTTTTTTTCCCTAGACGATATGCTCAGGTGAGCGATGTGGCCCCTGGGCCTCTTGTGTTGTTTAACTTCCCTCTCGAGAATATTTCACTTATAATATGGAGATGCCACCACTTGCCTGTGGAGAGCTGCATTTTTTTCCCTATAGATCCTCGGCACTAACGGCCATTGAACAGTAAAGAGTTTTTATCGTGCCAGCAGCTACACGGGGCCTCAGTTTATATGGTCTCGTCCAAAGAACCAATCTCCACGTCCCACAGTTTCTACAAAAGAAACTGTGTGTATATTTATACCCCATGCAACAAGTTGCGTGAAGTATAATGTTTTTGACCCGTCAGTCAGTCAGTCCTGTTTTTTTGTCAGCGCAGCTCCTCTTAAACCGCTGCACAGAATTTCGTCAAACTTTGCAGATATTTAGAACACAATGTGTAAATGTGCACATTACCAAAAAATTTAATTCCTTTATTTTTTCCGGGAATTTCCACACTTTTCAACTTAGATTTTTGACAATATCTTGAATACAGAGATGAACAGTTTGTCAGCGCAACTCCTCATAAACCGCTGCACAGAATTTCAGCAAACTTTGCAGATGATTTAGGACACAATGTGTAGATGTGCATATAATGGGGAAATTCCTTTGTTTTTTCTGGGATTTTCAGCACTTTGAGTTTTGGGGGAGCGTGGGGTATGTGAGCTTGCTCACTTTTTCTTTCCTATGATCTAAATTTTATCTGCATATATCTGGACTTTATTCATCTGAAACCATATGGGACCAAAGTTCTTTGAATTACTTGATGCTCAATATTTGGATACTCTATACATGTATATGTGACATTATGAATGTTTGTGCTACATGTACATAGCCTTGTTAAACTCCACATTAAAAATGTGATACATACAAGTACCCTATGCCATTAGAGGTGTTAAGACATGGAAGTTGAGGACATTTACATTTTCTATTGAAATCTAACTGTATGGGTTGAGACTCCATGATTTGAAATTTGTGCTCAGAAAATTTAACCACACAAGTCGAAAAACACGCATTACGATTTAAAAATCAGTAGGCCCAGAACTATACCGTTTATCATTTTTCACAAAAATATTACGGCTGTGTTTTACATTGACTCTCTAACAAGGGAGAAATCCTACTTTGAGAAAGAAAGAGGGGAAAATTGGGCTCTGGTGTGAAATTTCCCCTCAGGGTCGGGACAATCCTGCTCTAGAGTACGATTTCCGAGGGGGGGGGGGTTGGCTATGGGGAAAATCCTTCTCTACAACACCGCTATTGTTGGTTATAATTACTCTGACTTTTGACTTTGTACATCATGATGCTCCGTGTATTAGGGATCCATATTGGTTAAATAGATAGTCTATTCATTTCTTAAATGTTTTATTTTGACATCATTGACAGCTGTTTTTTTTTTTCAACGAAAATCGTAAATTTACTCACTTTGTCATTGGTCATTTGCCAAATTATTTTGTTAGAAACATTCTGATTGTACACACAAGTTGAAATTAAAAAGATACCTTTATGAATTTCTGTTTGATAATATTCATCCCCCCCCCCCCCCCCCCCCCCCCCCCCGCTTTTTTTTTTTAGACCAAGTCTTCAAACTATCTATTAGAAATCGCATGGGTACTTATCACGCACCGCTATTGCGGATCGACCTATTCAGTATTTTGTATTTATACGTAGCAGAATTCGTTCAAAATCTTAAATGTGAAAAGAGGAAATTAAAACACTTGTTGTGGCCTACAACTCAACCTTTCTAACTACAGTGTTGACACGTTGTATTAATTACAATGGTTATATTATTTTCCATTCTTATGTCGATACGATGTATCCCAGTGGGTTTGAAATAAAATTAAGATACTATGCACGTACAGACAAAGAGCAAAGGCGCGTGTTTCCGTTTTTGCTCTGCTACAATATCAGACCCCACCCCTCTAGATATGCGCATAGATCTATTGGGTACCCATCTCTTATTCTCAACTCCTTCTATACCACTGAATGAAATCTAAGGAACGGGTTACAAGGTTCTGTGAAAATATTCGTCCAATGATTTTTTTTCTTCTCATTTTCACATATAATTAATTTGCCTTTAAAGTTAATTACGTATATCTTAATATCAAAATACCAACCATGGAAATTGGAGTTATAAGGAAGTTATGGTTGTCATGGTAACCACCAATCTTTTGATATATTTATTAGGTGAATGTTTAAATATGGCATACACGCATCAAAACTGAAATGAAAAAAAAAAATTTCTCCAGATATTAAATGATATGCTCTATATTTCTTGAAAATAAAAATTGTATCGGAAACTATCAATTGATAGATGAAGTAATGCCACGTTGCTTTGGGGAGTATTAATTGTAAATTTACAGTAATATTTTAATTCACCTCGAGAGCAGTGTTCAACGTTTAGACAAAAATTACCCAATGAATTTTCAACTAATATATGTTATACCAATGATATAAAGTGACTTAATTTTGAAGCTTCATGCATTTCAGTAACCCCCTCCTTTTTTCTATTTTTTTAAAATGAATTTTCATATGATGGTTTTTTGCTGAACCATAAATATGAGTCTATTGGGTGACGCCTTGCAATCGCATCCTTAATGAGACTTTCAGAGAATTTTTAATTGTTACATATAGCCATAGTACGTGCACCCTTATCTTACTTTTGGATCAGACACATTTTCGGTTACTTTTACTTACTTTTAATTGTATTTTGGTATATTTAACAGTGGCGTAGCATCGTTTTTGAAAGTGGGGGGGGGGGGGCAGCCAGAGAAAATTTTTTTTTTACGTACCTGAAAAAGTTGACAAGCAAAAAAAAAAAAAAAAAAAAAAAAAAAATGGGAAAAAAATGGCCCAAGTGGGAAATAGGTTTTGGGGGGGGGGGGGGGGGGGGGGGGGGGGGGGGGGGGGGGGGGGGGGGGCTTTTTTTCAATGTCAACTACTTTCAGTACCATTTCGGTACATCACTTAAAGTTGGGGGGGGGGGGCAACCAGGTCTTCAATTAACATTTCCTATAGTGTAAGTAATTTATGTTTGCTACGCCCCTGTTTTAAATTCCGCTTTTGAAGAAATTTTTCTTGGGATTTTAAGAAAAAACATCATAATTAAAAAATAAATAGATTGTTTATTGCATTATTTAATATTTATGTTTATAAATCATACACAAGATCCACCTCGCCATCTTTTCCGTTATTATCCGGACAAAGAATTTCGAAACAACGAAAATAAAATAAATTATGAAGAAAAGCAAAAACAAATGCACGTACATTTAGCATTTTAAAATTTTGAAGTAAATTTATTAAACTGATTAAAAAGTCATTTTAAAAACAACTAAATAAATCATCATCATTTTGATGCAAAACGTTCAGTGTAGAATTTTGCATCTTTAAAACATTCACATGAGCCAGATCTCGCCACATCACCAAAACCGGCGAAAAGAAGGTTCACGTGTTTTCACTTTTCATCTACGAGCAGCAGAGGACATGTCATATACACAATACAGAGATTTATTTTCTTACATATTTGTTGCTTGAGGCTAGGATTGTAATCAGCTTTCGTTATTTCAATTTCATCCACGTGACAAAGTGACTTCCTTTTACAACGCGACTGTCCACGAGTCAAAACAACATGAGCAATTCACAAACAGCTGTTCACCGTGGGATCGTGAAACAAGTGAGAATTTTAAAATCGCTTACATTAAAAGTGCGCTGTTTATTCAAATTTTACATAGTCGTGTACAAATGTTCCTTTTTTAATTAGAAATCGCTTGATGGTATTTTTCTGCATAACATACCAGATGATGTGATTGTGTTTGTCAGACTAGAAAAAGAAATTAACTGGCATATTGTCTTCTATGTTGTTTTTTTTTTTAAATGTAATTTTATTTTTAAGTTATACATGAAAAACAAACGTGTTATATGAGTTTCACGAGGCTAACTAAACATGGTTAATTTATTACTAGGTATGAACCACATATGCATATGGTACTTTCACACATCATGCACACGTTCTAAAATGTTAATGTATTGACAGATCTATATATGAAAAAAAAAAACATGCTGAAGATTTAAAAAAACAATAATTTGTTCTGATTTCAAAGTATAGTTGTACAATAACATCATATACATGCACATTTCATTTGTTAGGAAGTCGTGATAGACAAAAAAAAACTTCTTGTTTAAAAAAAAATGTATTTTTTAGAAGTAATAAGTTAGTGATAGGAAATTCGACAGGCTATAGTTAAAAAAAAACTATATATAGATTCATCATTTTTCAGGAGCTTCATGTGTGTATCTAATGCCTACTGAAATTTAGATTTTCAAGAAATATAAATTTAACTATCTTTAATAAACAATTTTGAAACAACTGTATTAACATCTATGTAAACTACTAGTCTAATTTAAAAATAAAATCCAAATTTCCAATTTATACCATGCTTTTAAACATTTCCACAACATGTATATGTGCAGTATCTACGTATCTAAGTTTTTACCATTTTTTGCAGGTCTTGTCGGGAGATGCAGTGGTCATCAGGGGTCAACCCAAGGGAGGCCCACCCCCAGAGAAAACAATATGCTTCTCCAACATCACTGCCCCTCGCATGGCTAGACGGCCCAATCCAGCACAGGACAGCGTGGAGACAAAGGACGAGGTAACAAAACCGGGAAAATACCTGAAATTATTGAACATATCGAAGACAGGTTTTACCTTTGATATTTTGAAAGTTCAGGTTAAAAAATAATTAAAATTCAACAGAGCTGTATTAATTATATTGCCGAAAATTGCATTACAATCCTGTTTTAACAACTTAAATGAAATATCTTTTCTTGACGGGTTATAAAATGCTACATAACTATGCAGTGTTGCTTAATGAATCTTTATTTGGGCATTGGGTCATTTTCATGTCCCAACATGAGACAGGTCTAGGATTTTGAATGCCTGAAGAACCTCTGAATTGAGTAGAAATTTACATTGTGATAATTTATTCTTGCACATGAACATGTGTGTATCGTGTGCATGTATACAGTAAAACTTGTTTAATACGAACCTGTATATTATGAATTCACATATGAAGTGAAGTTTTCTTGGATCCCCCAGTGTAAACATTTATGAATTCCTTACACAGATATAACAAATTACCAATATAGTAAAGTATTTTTACAGGTCCCAGTGACTTTGTTATAACCAAGTTTTACTGTAGTCATAGCTGTGCTATTGGAAAAGGGATGCCAATAAAATGCCATATTAATCCATTTCAGCCCTTTGCATGGGAAGCCAGAGAGTACCTGAGGAAGAAGTTGATTGGGAAAGAAGTGGCTTTTGTCATAGAATACACAGTACCAGGGACTGGAAGGGAATATGGCTGTGTTTATCTGGGGAAAGGTAAGAGAGAGAGGGGTAGATTTTGTTATAGAACAGGCAGTATCAGACACGGGGAGTAAAAATGATTCTGTGTACCTTGGGAAAGTTAAAGAGTGGTTGGGGGAGGGTTGGTTATAGAAAACTCACTACCAGGAATAAGGAGAGAATATGGGTGTGTTTATCTTGGTAAAGGTAAAAAGGGGAGGAGCAGAAGTGCGAGGATGCTTTCTCCTCAGTATTTCTTTAATCAGTTAGATTAGAAACTCTTGTATGAAATTGTATTTAAAGATATTACAACTTAATAATTAGAAACTTAGTACTGTATTTAAGTTTAAAAAGAAAGAAGGAGGGCCAGAAAATTGCCATATCCTGACTTATAAATATAGAATTTGCCTTACAGATACATCAGGAGAGAACATTACGGAGGCTTTAGTGACTGAGGGGCTGGTAGAAGTTAGAAGAGGGGGGCTCAGGCCCGATGAGTAAGTCAGACTTATCTCCCTTCTGGGGAGCTAACAGTGTCAAAAAGTAAACGGTTCTTTTGATTTCCAAGCATAGTTGTAAGCTTAAAACATCATCTGAGTAAAAAAAATTTTCCTCCGTATTTTATATTGTGAAATTTTGGAAACATTTTATATTAATTGCCATTATTTTACCCTCATTGCTCATGGGCAAATATAAAATGGGACAAAAAAAAAAAGCATAATCGCTTCAGCAAAACTTGGTGTGAGTGAATTTAAAGTGGAACAAAATTGTTTGCAAGTGTTCAAGGGTGAAAATAACCCTGTACAGTGTAATTAGTATATCTTGCCTTCTTGGGTGTAAAGTCTATATCATGGATTTTAATGTAACACACAGTCCAGGTCAACAACAGCTGATCCAGTTGGAGGATGCAGCAAAGGCTGCTGGGAAGGGAAAGTGGAATACAGCGGAGGCAGCTAAACATGTACGCAACGTAAAGTGGAACGTGGAGAACCCTCGAAACTTTGTGGACTCTCACCACAACAAACCAATTGATGGTACTTCTAACGTTTCTCTTACTAGGAATTGTGGCTCAGTATTCTGTCAGTCAAATATCTTTTAAAATTTCTTTTTAGTTTCATACTGTAGAAAATCGCTATTGACGTTTTTGAATTTCTAATATGAGCTCTGTGGATTATCACCTGTTTTGGAGATGTAAAAATACTTATTCATTTTATGTGATTGATCATATTAATCTTTATGAAATGAAGTGTTTGTTTCACTGTAAGTTGGCTAAAAAAATTCGGTATATTGATGTGTCATTTCACATGTAATTTTTTTATCAACAGCTGTGATAGAACATGTGAGAGATGGGTGCACTGTCAGGGCTTTCCTCTTACCATCGTTTGACTATGTCACCATCATGCTCTCTGGAATAAAGGTTTGTGTTTGTTGTTTTTTGTTTAGGAAAAATACATAACTGGCTTGGGGAAAAAATCATAATGAGTTAAAATGTACTAAATATTTTTTTATTCAAGAAAAATACATTTCCTTCTCATGTTATGCAATGAAGTATCCCAGAATTTTCTTAAGATGTACAAGTTCTTTTCTTAGTGTCCAATGTTCAAGCAAGATGAGAGTGGTAAGCAGGTGCCTGAACAATTTGCTGCGGAGGCCAAATATTTCACCGAGGTCCGTCTACTGCAGAGGGACGTACAGATCATACTGGAGGGAGTCTCCAACCAAAACCTGCTGGGGACAGTCCTACACCCGGTATGTAGGGTCACATTACTGGTGGAATTATCTTTTGTGGGAATTTAATGTCTGAGGATTTAATGGACCACCCATACCCACAAATTTACATACTGTAAATGTATTATATTTAGCATGTATGATATTTGGCGGAAATTGAATTTTGAACAAGTTAGCGTAGATTTGATTTAGCTCATTTCTTATCTTTCTTATTTATGTATTTAAGTATAAAACATTTAGCGTTGTACTTGAATTAGCGGACTCTGCTTTCCGCCAAAAATGCTAAAAAGAATACACAGCCAAATGTAATACGTTTACAGTATGCCTTTGAACGATAACCATTTTAAGGGAACCCATACATTGAATATTTTGTATGTGATTTGTAGGCATTGGAACTATGTTCCAACCAACAAGTTTAAAATTTTAAAATTTTGATTGCTTAGAAATATATTTATTGACCTTCTACTATTTAAAATGATTGCAAGTTAAGTAGTTCATATTTCACATGAAAATTGTATGCGATTGTAAACATGCAAAACAAAAGTGAAATTTGTTTCCCAGAGATGCAGTTTTTGGATCTCATAAGAATTTCACAAGCAATACAATGCCTATAGAATTTTTGTTTTTTATGGTTGTAGAATGGTAACATTGCTGAGCTGCTGTTGAGGGAGGGATTTGCCCGCTGTGTGGATTGGAGCATGGGCGTGGTCACTCAGGGGGCCGATAAACTACGAGCTGCTGAAAAGTACGCCAAAATCATATCTTTCTCTTCATGGCAATAGTATCAGTTACAGTTCACATGGCTTGTAATACAAGGCCATTTTATGTAGACTTTGATTTTTGAGTGATAAAAATATAGGTTAGAAATTTTTCACATTTTTTTTCTCATTTCAGAGTTGCCAAAGAGAAGAAAGTACGATTATGGAAGGATTATTCTCCCTCTGGACCGACAGTTGACATCAAAGACAAGTCCTTCAGTGGAAAGGTATGTTGTACCTTAGGAAATAAAAAGACAATTTTGCAGATTGAAAAATTTAGGTCAATCATATCATAATTTCTTATGGTACTGGGTATCATATATGAAATATATGTTTGAAAGCATTTAGACCTATACTATGATTGCTGAAAAATTGTAATCTCTAATAATTGGCAATTAACCACAAGCGAAAAAAATAAGTACAGCAAACTGACTTCCACTATCAAGAATTGAATTAAATATTTGACATTTGTTTGTTAGATTTAATGCATTAGATTTTTAGAAATCTGTTATCCGTTATTAATTATCAGGTTGTGGAGGTTGTCAACGGTGATGCTCTAGTTGTCAAAACAGAAAAGAACCAGTTTAAGAAGGTGTTCCTGTCCAGTATCCGACCCCCCAGGTAAGAAGTGGATATTGACAGAAACCTAGGCTTTGTCCAATAAACCCCGAAAATTAATTTGTCTTTTCACATACAGTAGATTTCATACAGTAAACATGTAAATATATGTGCATTTCTTCGTATTTGGGGTGTTATTATTGCTAAATTTTGTGAAAACTACCACTTGCAAAATAAAAAAAATACTTGCCTTTATTTTTATAGTGCTAAAATATATGCAAAAACTTTTCATTAACTGTCAACTTAACTAGTTTTGCAATATTAAGTAATTGTGTGAAATACAGTACATGTATTACTTAGTCTATATTAAGTATTCAGTTCTGAAATGGACCTGAGTAGGATATTTAAAGGTACTTGGACACAGATTTGAAGTTAATATTTTCTCATTTTTTCTGTATAATATCACAAATTATATATTTTAATAGCATTTCACACAAAAATTAATTAAAAATCTTATTTCATTTAAAAGTTATTAAAACTTTAAATTTTTTGGCGGGCTTGATTGACACATCCTTGCACTTTCACAAATTTTAACTTTATTCTTAATCCTCAGGAAAAGTGGCAATTTTGATGTGTTTTAATGAGAAATATAAAAACTTTTATCAAGAAAAATGATTTTATTCAGAGTAGAAATGTTAGAAAGCAAAACAACTCCTTCGAACTAGGAGATGCGTACAGAGTTTAGCAAATCGAGCACACTCGTGTTATGTACACAGTTTTTGTAAACAGGGCTCGAGTTCTGTTATTGTTTATATTTAGAATTCACCGGGTGCGTTCAATCGTCACAGTCTGCTTACCACAACTGCACGGACTGACAATATATTGTGTGTTTGTTTTGCTTTCAAACGTGTCTACTCTGAATTTTCTGGATTATAGTATTAATATTTTTCATTTATACAAAACGAGATTGCCACTTTTCCTAAGGATTAAGAATAAAATTAAATTTGTGAGAATGCAAGGATATGTCAATCAAACCAGCCGAAAAATTTGAAATTTCAATATCTTTTAAACGAAATAAGATTTTTAATCAATTTTTGTGTGAAATGCTATTAAAATATATAAGTCGTAATATTATAGAGAAAATAATAACTTCAAATCTGTGTCCAAGTACCTTTAATTTGTTTACTTACAACCTTGAAAGTGTGATGAGATAGAAAATTCCTTTCTCATCAATGTTTTTTTTAATTCGTATTTCTAAATATCTTTGAATGTTAGATGTTAAAAGTATTAGGTTTGCTTAGTGTTTTTATGCTGTAGGCCTGAAATTCTCATACTTGTATTCTAAACAAACATAATTTCTTGTTGATTTCAGAAATACTGCTGCTGCAACCGATTCAGAATCTCCTTCCAAAAGCCGAATTCGACCACTGTACGACGTTCCGTACATGTTTGAGGCAAGAGAATTCCTGAGGAAGAAACTCATTGGCAAAAAGGTAAGATTTGGACACTCACAGTAAACATAGTTTTGTACAAGCACAAATATCATATACAGCAAAACAGTGTTATCTCAAGCTCAAAGGAACTGAGAAAAAATTTACAACATATCGACTGATATTGGAATGTCAAAGGTAAAATTCTTACAGAAAAAGTTATTTGGACTTTGAAATCACTTTGACATATCCATGGTATTCGAGAAATCGGTGTTCGAGAGACTGAAGTTCAACAGATTATTACTAAATGAGATTATGAAAACCATTACCATTTCTAGTTTCTTTCAAAGCAAATAAGATACATCTTGACATTAGAAACAAGATATGATCTTGGCAGTTTTATTGAGAATTAGGAATAGCCAGCTTCATTTTTGAGTTATACTTATCTTTTGCAACTGTGAATCCCAGACATTTATAAACAATGTTGTGGACTCATTGTATGGAATATTGTTTGATATTTGGTTTCAACTTTCAAGAGATGTGAGGTCATGAAGTAGAGGTAAAATCTCTAGGAAATAGCTCGCAGTACATGATGTTGACTTTGTATGCTTTATATGGGGTAGTACAGGGCTTTCTTGCCTTGATAGCAATGGATATAATACTTTCATGCAGATAGTCAGAATATAAGAGCAAATTATTTTGAATTTTATTTCTCTCCATAACTATACTATAGGTAGGTTATAGTGACATAATAAAAGTAGTCCTCTATTGGTTGTATTGATTTGTTTGTGAGTTGTCATTTTAAGAGTGTTATGTAAGTAAGAAGGGGAATATGATTTAACACAGCTGATTGTGAATTACAGGTTAACGTCCAGGTGGATTACATTCAGCCAGCTAACAACAATTTCCCTGAGAAGACTTGCTGCACCGTCACCATATCTGGAATGTAAGTAACTGTAAAACTCACGGTTTCTTGATAACCCCATCTATATTGAATTCCTAAAAACTGGTAATACTTGGAACATAAATCTGGCAAAAATTATCCAAATTATCCAGGTGTTTGTGAGAGAAAAAGATGAAAAGAGTAAAAGATGAAAAATTAAAATTCAAAGTTATATGTGTAGTAAGGACTGTTGCCTAAACTTTTATTTCTTATATTTGGTATAATGACAATAATTAATATTCTTGACAGGGTTGTGGTTAACCATTTACATCCTAGGAGCCATGTGGGCCCCTTACTTTTCAAAGTTTAGGGGCCCACAATGTGATTTACGGGCCCACATACCTCATCAACAAAATATTTGAAAATGCTGCTTTTCTTTGTATATATAACTATCAATAAACCGCCACATTATTGGTTTCACTAGGGCATACGTCTAGGTCACGCAAGTGCTTGTATTGTATACAAATGTAATAGTTTGCACACGACACCAAAAGTCATGGTTAGCGTAGTGTTTGTTATGAAAAAAGGAAGTGGATTATAAAAATACAAACAAAGCACGGTCATGTTCCGGGAACAAGACGCTCGCCATGTGGGCGATCAAATTTTGATTTCTTCATCTCCCACTTGAAATTTTAATCGCATTGGCGAGTGGGCGAGTGGTTAACCACAACCCTGCTTGAGTTCTGCTATTTAACGGTACCTCATTAATTACAGTAATGTTGGAGAAGCCTTGGTGGGTAAAGGACTGGCCACAGTGGTCCGATACAGACAGGAGGATGACCAGCGGTCAGAACACTATGATGAGCTGCTGGCAGCCGAGGCCAGGGCCCAGAAGAAAGGAGTCGGCCTGCATTCCAAGAAAGAGGCTCCAATCCACAGGGTGGCAGACATCTCAGGGGTATCAACATTTGTTGTTTTATTTTTTCAGTTGTGAATGAAAGTTTTGATTGGATGAAAATAATCATTGATTGATTTGAATGTCATAAGGAAACACAGTTATGTTAGAAGGCAGATATTGGTTCGTGTTTCAGCAAAGTAAACTATTTTAATTAATAAAAAAAAAGACATATTTGAAGGTTTTCATATTACAATTTTTCTGGTCAGTATTTGAAATGAAAGAAATTCCCTTATTATTCTTGCAGCATTAAATCAAATTCCTGATTTAGGATTACATAACCTTTTTGTTTTTGCTTACAGGATGTGAACAAGTGTAAGCAGTTTCTGCCATTTCTACAGAGGGCTGGTAAATCGGAAGCTGTCGTAGAATTTGTGGCCAGCGGGTCTCGTCTCAGACTCTATCTGCCCAGGGAAACTTGTCTCTTCACCTTCCTTATATCAGGTACCAAGGAGAAATCATTTTAAAATTGTACCTCCATCTTTTTTTCCCAAGTAATATTTGGCTCATAATGTTTTGAAGTAAATCTAGGGTTTTTCCGCTTATAGATATAAAGGTAATTTGTGATTCAAAATGAATTTTACTTGTAAACAAAAGCTGAAAAACAAAGTCAGTTCTAAGTGCACATTTGTAACTTTTTTTTTTTTGTAGGTATTGAATGCCCTCGCGGAGCCAGACCTCTCCCGGGCGGACAGATGTCCCCTTCTGATCCCTATGGCGATGAAGCACTTCAGTTCACAAAAGAAATGTGCTTACAGAGAGAGGTAACTCCTTATGTTTTAAATCGCATCAATTAAAAAATTTCAAGTGCAAACTATGGATTGGAGGTTTTTCAAGACAATTGTTTTAATGCTGTTGGTTTACATAGAACATTAACATGATTTCAAAAATTGATATTGTATACGTTGTATTCAGGTTGATGTGCAGGTAGAAAGTATGGACAAGGGAGGTAATTTCATTGGTTGGCTGTTTGTGGACAACACTAATTTATCAGTGGCATTAGTAGAAGAGGGTCTAGCCAAGGTGCACTTTACCGCGGAGAGGAGTAACTACTACAAACAGCTGAAAATCGCCGAGGAGAACGCCAAAAGAAATAAACGCAATGTAAGTTGCTGATTATAAACTGAAATCTAAGATTTTGTATTGAAAAATTTTACTGCTATATTTCCTCCAATTTGAATGTTGTGTGTTTGAGCATTCTTAGATATATTTATATTTCACAAATCCCATTTTGTCAGAGGATTTCAGATATTTGGAGTACAGTAAAAACACACTTCTAATGAAGTGCGAGGGACAGGCGCTTTGCTTCATTATCAACATAATTTGTAATATCCCTTTCAAATATTCATGTTGTATAGAAAGAGATTGCCAGGACAATTCATGTTGTATAAAATTTGCATATTTTTTAGTTGTGGAAGGACTTCCAGGAGGCGACAGAACCAGAAGAGGTCGTAGAGGACACCACCGAGAGAAACGTCAGCTACAAACCCATCATCGTCACGGAGGTGGGCGACGACCTGAAATTCTACGCCCAGCTGGTCGACAACGGTCCTCAGCTGGAGAAACTGATGGATCAGCTCCGACAAGACATGGAGGCCAATCCCCCTCTCCCCGGGGCCTACACCCCAAAACGTAATGATCTGTGTGCAGCCAAATTCTCGCAGGACAATGAGTGGTACGTACTGGTAAATTTCTGTAAACAGAAGTTTTGATAATGATGCAGGGAAAGAAACTCTCACATTGAATTGACAGAGAATGCCACAAAATAGAAGGAGACTTGCTCTTTCTACAAGGGGGCAATAAATTTCAATTCTAGAAAAAAATTTGTTAATACTTGCCAACTTTTTTGCATGTAACAATTGTGAGCTCTTAAGGGACCAAGAAAATTGCTAAATAAAGTCATCAATTATTAAATTGTTTCAATGTTTATGTTGTAAAGAAGAAGGATGCAAAGAAAAGCTGGTTTAGAGGAAACTTCTGTAGAATGTGTTTGTATCAGGTATAAGTAATGTGTGCTTCGAATTTCAGGTATAGAGCCAAAGTGGAAAAGGTCGAGGGGTCAAAGGTCACACTTCTCTACGTTGATTATGGAAATGTAAGTGATACTAAAGATTTTCAAAGAAAGAAAAGAAAAAACACATTTGTAAAGATATGAAAAGACTTTTTTTGTTATTTGAAATAAAGACTGATAGTTAATTAATTTTTTGATCGTTTTCAGAGGGAGCAAACCACGACTACTAACCTGGCTACATTGTCTGCGTCCTTCCAAACCCTGGCCCCACAAGCCACGGAGTACTGTCTGGCCTGTGTCGGCCTCCCATCTGATGTATGTAACAGGCGTATAGGCATGATTTTATATAAGTCATGTTTTAATTATCTGAATAAAGCTAGATGATCATGAGTGTATAAGTTTTCACACCATTGTAATATGTTCAGGATAAATCAAAATGACAGAAGATAGTCAAGTTTTTTTAGTATGAAAACATAAAGCCCCCTCCAAAAAGTTGCATGTTTTAATCTTTATTTATTTCAAAGTTGAATTTCAATACAAAATGTTCAGTTAGATTCATATCATTTATTCTAATAAAATGTAAATTATTTGAATGATTTGTTTTACCTCTCACTAGATTTTTCTAACATGTGAAGCTTTATCCATTAATTCTCGCTTTGTAGGAGGATTTCAAGGCAGATGCGGTCGACGCCTTCTATGACGAAGTAGCAAACAGACAGCTGTCAATGAATGTTGAATACAAAGTGGGGGGATTAGAATACGTCAGCCTGCTAAACCCCGACACAAAAGACGACATAGCATTGAAGCTGATCTCTAGCGGTTACCTGCTAGCGGAGAAACGCCGCGAGAAACGGCTGGCCAAACTTGTCTCGGACTACATGAAGGCACAGGAAAAGGCCAAATCCTCCAGGGTATGGATAAAAAACTTTTATGTACAATTTGCAAATGAAAATTCTTTTTAATAAAATAACTAATTTGCGGAACTTCTCATTCCATGAAATTCATTTCTTAATTCATATTCTTAGCATGAAATTAGTATATATGATATTTCTCTTCCATACTTGATTTTTGTTTTAATCTTTAGATTAGCAATTTAACAGTATTATAAATTTGCACCTGCATTTCTTTGGGAAATGCTTTTGGAAGAGGGGGTTTATAAATACAAATACAGATGCTGTAAATTCTTTTTAGTAGCATTGGAGAAAAAAAATATTTTGATGAAAACCTTTTTTTCATGATACAGTAGTGAATATGATCCAATGATTTGTAATTTTATTATTTGTTATAGAGGACTTGAATTCTTGGATCTTCCCATTGCACAGTCAATTAACTTCCCACCAAAAATTAACGATTCATGGAATTTTTCCCTTTTATACATATATTTTTTCGTTAAACATATTTATATTTGTTTATAATTTTTTCAGGAGAATATGTGGCGATATGGCGACTTCACCGAGGATGACGCAAAAGAGTTTGGATACTCGCGATAGACTGAGGTCGCGTCAAGACCCACCTAAAAGATGTGAAACATAAGTAGAATCTAGCTTTGCCTCGCAAACACAAGTGGAATCTAGGAAATTTTCATTTTTATTCGAATTGTTATTTACATATATTATAATATATATATATATTTTTTGCAATTAACTTATGAATGTACAGGTATGAAATACAGTCAGATGAATTTCTCTTTTTTTTTTCGTTATCGTTTTTATCATCATTATTTAGTATACAAGTTTGTGATGATTTTTCTATGCATTAAATTCCTAACCTTACATAAAGTATTTATTATATATAGATATTGTGTTGATGCATTTGACTCTGTTAGATTTGCACGATATTGTGGGACAGAGGACTTATAAAGATGTGTTCAGGAGACCAGTATCAAAACGATTATTATGTATCTGGTGCCAATAATTAATAATAAGTATCTTTAGTTTTGATGAAAACTTTCAAATGATTTGTTTGCAGCATATATGTTTGTAAATGCTGTAAAAATTCAACACATTATTAAAATGTCACTAAAAGTAAAAAGCATGGAGCTGTCTTTAAAGCAAATTGTATGTGATGCTGTGTATCATTTCTTATTTGTGCTGTAAAGCTGAAAGCCTTGTACAATATTCAGGAATTCTTGCATGTATCACTATAAAATTACAGTTAATAAGTCATTGATGAATGATGTTTCATTGTGTTTTATTATGATGCATACCTTATGATAAGGTATCCAAACTGTGAAAATCTACCAATAACTCTAATGTGTCATCTCTTTTGTGCATCTGTTGATATAATACATGTATGTTCATGTACCATTAATCAATGGGAATAATACATGCATGGACAACTTAATTTATTCAAGAAAAAACTCTGTTGAATTATGCATGTTACTAAAATTTTCATAGGTTTCCAAAACCCCTGTTAGATTTGGTAGACAGGTCTTGTTTAAAACAAAGGTAAAAAGAATATTAAACATGTATTTTAAAATCTTAAGAAATATTACCATCTCTATCCTTTTCAGATTGATTTTTTTTTATCATGTATTATTTGTCTTAAAGGTCACTTTGGTGAAAGCATCATATCAAATATTTGTACGTATAAGTTGGTTTATCTGACTGTATTAATAGGATGGGCATTTGATTTTCAATGAGCATGCGTTTCTGGTTGCCATGACAGTTGTCATATCAGAATTTAAAAACTGACGACTGAAAAGTAACATGGCTTTTGCTGCATTTTAAAACATGGTTGTACTTCTTCTTTCAATTGATTTTCTTCTCAGATAAAAAAAAATATTTAAAAAAATAATTTTAAAAACCTAATTATTTCTTTTGTAGTAAATACAAGATTTAGCACATTTTATATATTGATACATGTATTAGAGGTAGGAAATCCTCAAAAGAAAATTAAAAAACCCCAAGCATATGCAAGGAATATACATTGTTTGATTGTATCAATATACCAAATGTTATTTTAATTTTTTTTTGTTTGATTAAGAGTCAACTGTTTTATGGTGCTTCTCATTTGTTATAAACTTTTTTTCCCCCAAATAATTATCTTTCTGTCAAGCTTATTCAACTACAAATTAAATTATACAATTTTTTCCTTATAATGTTGAGTACATCGTGTATGCATGCCACCAGCTTAGTTCTTTGTATTGACAGACATTGAAATAAAAGGTTGAAGGTTGCAGTAATACATTGCCTTATGTTGATTGACAGAAGGAATTTGAACTAGCAGTTTAAGGAAGCTCTTACTCAAAGGAGATATATCTTTGTATTCACAATAACTGCTTCCTAAAGTATAGCTGCTGTCATGGGTCTATTTATTTGAAAGATAAAAATTACGTTTTCTTAAAAATCATCTAGCAGATTGATCACTTAATTAGGGACCGGACCGTTGGCGGGCACCCTTTCATGTCAGTCTGTCTATCCGTTGGTCCAGCTGTCCTACTGTCCGTCTGAGATCTATTGTCTGGAGTATATCTTCTCTCTCCTTGGCCCAATCTGGCTCATACTTCCCCCACAGAGTGCCTCTAGGTAGAGAGTGTGCAGTGACCTTGGTCCATGTTTCTAGGTCTAAAGTGAAGGTCATAAAATTATATGAGAAATCCTTGTCTGGAGTATATCTTCTCTCCCCTAAGTCAAATGTAGTTCATTCTTCACTCACACAGTGCCACTGGTTAATGCATGTTCAGTGATTTTGAAAAAAAAAATTCTAGGTCAAGGGGTCAAGGTCAAATGTAGCTTCTGTTAAAATTCTTGCCTGGAGCATATTTTCTTTCTCCTTCGACAAATCTTGTTCATACTTCACCCACAAAGTGCCTTTGGGTAAAGGTGTGCAGTGACCCTGAACCATGTTTCTAGGTCTAAGGTCAAGGTTTCAGCAGAATTATACGAAAAATCCTATCTGGAGCATATCTCCTCTCTCCTTGGTACAATGTGGCTCATACTTCACTCAAAGAATGCCACAATGGATGTGCAGTGACCTTGAACAAAGTTTATATGTCAAGGGGTGAAGGTCGAAAATAGCAACTGTTTAAAATATTTGTTATAATATATATTAAAATTTCTTTCCCTTGAGTCTTGTCAGCCTCAAACTTGACCAATTGACCTAGGGTACGGAACATTTGTGATTTTCTATCCATATTTTGATACTAGGATATTCAACAATTTTCATAGAGAATATGCAACTTTCATGATTTTTGTGCGTTTTTCTGGTATTTCTATTAAAAAAAATAAGAACGTAGAGAACAGGTAAACGCTGACGACTTGAAATTGGAGAATGAAATAATTAAGAAAAAAGTCCTTGGTGTCCTGAATGTTGGATAACCTCCGAGGTCTAGAAATGTTGTTTGAAAGATAAAAGCCGAGGCTTTTGTATTTGAAACAACACTTCGAGATCAAAGAGGTTATCCTTGATCATGCACGACAACAAGGACTTTTTCTATTCTACTAAGAGCTCTAAAGTACCTCTATAGAGAAGCGAATAAGGTCATCATGTCAATGCATGTCGCGTTACACTGTTCCATTTAACACCAAAGGGGAATTTGTTGCCTACCTCTGTTTAAAATGCAGACGATTTGAGCTTTCACACGGTTGCATTAAAAATGGCCTTTTATAAATGACATTTGTTTGTAATATATATGGATTATTTTTAAAAAATACAGAATAACAAAATCATTTTTCTATATTTTAGCTGTCAGTAAAAATTGTGTAGGGTGGTCCGTGAAACAGTCGGCTTAGCTATAGGAACAGATATTCATCAGCAACTTTATGCAATTTACAGTGTTTAGACTGCAAAAGATGACACATCGATGTGGTCAAACAAGTATTTCATAATTATTTCTATAGTCAAATATGCATTTAAACTATACAGGTTTGATACGTGTTTCTGATCTAGCTGATATTTTTTTTTGATGGCGTTCGAAATTTATTGGAAACTAATGTCCGCGACATTTCTTTGATCTCTGCAGTAATCGTGGTAGAATTTATGGTACCGTAATTTCCATTCTTACGAGGGTTGTTCAATAAATAATGTCCTGAACTTATGACTTACAATACAGATATATGAAATTCAGCTTGACGTTCTCTCATGACTGAATCTTTAATGAATTGATATCAGTTTATGTGAACACTTTTCATCACATAGTTTCATTGTGAGAAGCTGAAAATAAAGGCTATTCGAGACACTGCATTAAAAATGAATGGTAAAGAATCGGTAAACTAAAATGAAATTAAACGCTTCATGAAAGCTGCTGTAACACTTGTAAAGAATCACAAATTAAAGAAATATTCACTGAAATACGTAAAATTTACGGCAACCAATGTCTGTTTTAAAGACACTGAAATGGGCAGGTGGATTTCAATAATAAAAAATTATATAATGGGCATCAAAAATTGGTAGCGTCCTTGCCAAAAAAGAATTATAACAACTAATGTACTGTTTGCCAAAATTCAACAAATAATCAAGGATGATGTATAATTGACTTTAAATAGGCATCATTTCGGGAGTAGTTCACACTCTTTTAGAGAAACTTTTGACTGTAAAAAAGCTTAGTACTCAAAGGTCTGTTTTGAAAAATGAGTTAAAACGACAGCGTGTAAGAATATCTAAATAATAATGTTGGAATTTAAACAGATAATGAAACTTGAGTCTATTGCTTAAAACCCTCAAAACAAAATTTGCAATAAGATGTACTTGAGAAAAACAGCAAAGGTCTGAGAAGAGCAAAGAATTGCAAAAGCACAAAGACAGATATGCACTTTTCTGAAATATTAGTGGTCTTGTTCTTCAAATTCGTATTCGATGAGGCAGTTCAATTTCTGGAGGAGTCTAGAAAGCATTTTTTTTCAACTTGAAAAAACACCTTTCAGAAGGAAGAAACAAGTCTAGGAAATCATTGGATTTTACACATATGTTTCATATTTGGATATTTTACTACTTTACAATCGTCAACTTCCCTTACTTATACCTTCATCACCTGCAAACGGAGTTTATAAATATCTCAGTTGATCCGATATGCAAGAACATGCTCTACGTATGAACAATTTCTAAAACTATTGAATTATTGACAAACAAGTTCATGAAACAAGAATATCAGCAGTCTCGTTTAAAGTCATCATTTCGTAAGTTCTTTGGTAGATACAATGACCTTGTCAGCAAATACACTTTATCATCGAGTCAAATACTGAGTACTGATTGACGGTTTTTCATACTCATTGTTACTCCATTATTTATACACTGAATTGACGACGGATTGTTCCGTTATTTCCTGATCATGACAATGAGCACTTGGCGAGTGTAACTGGTCGGCAGGGGATGCTCACTCCTCCTTGGCACCTGGTCCCACCTTTGATGTTTTTGAGGTTCGTATTTTCTCTACTCTTATTTTGTATTGTTTAATGAAGATATACTAGTAATATATCGAGCATAATATGCACAACCACGTCGTGTGTGTAGAAGTTCCGATGTATCCAATAAAAGTGAAGTATATTAATATGCTAATTAATTTGTTAATTCCTGTCAATTATCTCATGGCATTGATAATGATGAACGTTAATTATTATACATGTAAAAGTCCGAGAGAGAGAGAGAGAGAGAGAGAGAGAGAGAGAGAGAGAGAGAGAGAGAGAGAGCGTCAGAGAGGGTGTGTGTGTGTTGCAGTATCAATCCTTTATATATCACCGAGTTCCCAAACACCCGTCACCACAAGCGGAAACACCCTGCGTTTCTCTTCATATATATTATATTTTGATTTGTTTCTTGTTTGTGTAATAAAATTGAACATTATTTTTTAGGAGGTATGTGCAGTACTCCTAATATCATAACATATTTAACATGGCAATGCTGGATATTGAGTTCACCTCTTGTTAACATTGCCTTCCCCTTTTCTGTTGTTCACATTGTTCACTTTTTCGACATCACAATGAAGGTTGATGGTGTCATCATTGCCTTCTTAATTTTCTTGTTTACATCGTTCACATCGTCGACATCGCAATGTTGGTCAGTATCGAGTCGACATCGAGTCAACGTTGCCTTCTTATTTTTTTGTTTACATCGCGATGTCGACGTCGATGATGTCGACATGAAGAAATAATACCAATGTAGAAGATGTAAACGCGATATCAATTCAACATTCTTTACCTTGCGATGTCGACGATGTCAACATACAATGTAGAAATAATAACAATATAGACGATGTAAACGCGATATCGTATCAACTTTGTTGACGATGTCATCATGTAAAAACAATAACAACGAAGACTATATGTAAACGCGATATCGCATTAACACTGTTTACATTGCAATGTCTTCATAATGAATAAAAAAACAAATGTAGACAATATGTGTCAACAATGTTATCATTGTAATGTCGACAATATCGAACTGATATTGTGAACTGGACATGAATGATACTTCGATGTAAAACATATGGATTCTCTATTTTGGCCCAACGTACCCCCGACCGGAGACACCCGTCGTCGTAAGGTTCGGGCATTCGACTTTATATAATATATACTTTCTGACAAAGTCAATGTCTAGACGGCAGAACTTGCCAAATGCTTTCTTAAAATGAGGCCTTATTCCTTGTTTCATAAGCTTATTTGTCAATAGCTTGCTTCGATTAAAAAATTGATCGAAGTAGAGCACGCTCCTCTATATCGAATAAACTGAGACATGAAGTCCATGCATGTGAGGAAGTTCAATTTTTTAAAACAATTAAGACTACTGTAATTTAAGCTGATTTCAAATAGCTTTCTGCAATGTCTTTTTAAAGTCATCATTTCACAAATATTTTGTGTTATAAAAAAACTTCTTGACAAAAAAAAAAAAAAAAAAAAAAAAAAAAATCAGGAAGAATGATCAGACCAAACACTGTAGATGATGCTTCTCCTATACAATCCTTTCAAGAGGTCGATCTGTATTTTTGCCGTTTACACGTTAGGCAATATATGATTAAAGAAAATGGTCGCAGTTGGTCTCTTTATTAAAGCTCAACTTTTTACAAGACATTTTCAAAGGTTTACTCTAATCATGATGTGAACAATTCAGAATCCAATCTACATGTACAGTGTACCTAATATTGCTTCCACATAACTTTCAGCTTTTTCTGGCCCAGTGGGTTGAGAAGAACTTTAAAGAATTTCCCTATGTATTTCAATGTAAAACTTGGATTCTCAATTTTCATAGTAATATATTTACATCAACTGAATATTTTCTCCTTTATTTCTTGAGAAACCCCATTGCGTTCATCACTGCATAAACTACAGTAGGCAGGTCGCCTGTACAGATTTCTTAATCAGTGGCTGTTCCATCAATAAAGACGTTCGCATCATTAATACAATAATTAATCTTTTTAGTCCTACTTTAATTGATCATTTAAACAGATATAAATATAAACAATAAAATGCTTTCTTTGTTTGTTGTTACTGGAATGAACGGTCGCAGCTATTGCAGAAAAAATTCACATAACCCGCTTACGCGGGTTATGTATTTTGTCCTCAACAGCTGATTCCGTTCATTCCAGTAACAACAAACAAAGAAAGCATTTTATTTTTAAATAAGAACTTAATTATGCCTGGATAAGACCACTTGAGGAAAGCATTTTAGAAATCAAAACCATGCAAATATACACAAGGATATAAATTTGATTTATTTTTTAAAAAGTTCACATCTTTAACTTAAAATCTCAAAATGATGGTAACCGTTATGGAAAGTGAGTTGTCCAAATGAAATCATATACATATTCTTTGAATTAATTAAATATTATCTTCAAATATCTTCTGACACATAAATTATAAACTAGCTAGGAATCAACTAGGCCCAAATTTCAGACAATTTAACGACGGGCAAAAAATCGACGTAGTCTGTTCAGCAGGCCAAGCTTCTTTTTCTTCTCTTTCTCCTGTTGAAAAAAAATTAATATACGTTATTTAAACGTATAAATGCAGTTATCATGTTTAATAAACATTACATGTATATTACACAATCATATAAGAGTGAGGCCTCCAGAAAACGCATCAGATAATGATAGGAAGAGGACAGTTTACCTGTTTTTTCTGTGGATTGCCACAACACAGAAATCTTCTCCAGCCTTTTGGCTCAGGATCGTCCTCCTATAAGTAAAAAAAAAAAAACTTACAAAACTTCTTTGTTGGAGTTTCGTTTATTTTTTTTATTTCATTTGTCTATTTCAAAACAAAAAAAGCATATGAATTAAACATTCAAAATCGCTTCAATATCAAACAGTGAAAAACGTACTGTTTTGTGGCTTGCATCTGTTTCAGATTGTACATAGGCAGGTATATGTTCATGTACGTCAACTATAGCTGGTCTGTAAACAGGAGCAGTAAATAGTTGAACAAACTTAATGTTAACTTTATAATTTTCTTCTTTTGTCTCATATTTCAAATGGCAGTTGTCAATAGGCAATTATACAAGAAACACATACATACCCAGGAATATTGCAGTCACGTGAATCTTGAGTCTTAGGATCATTCGCAGTTTTCTCTGCAGCTTTGTACAATGGCTGTCAAAGAAAAAAAAAGGATATGTGTAATCTCTACTGTCAGTGATAAAAATCAATTAATTTTTAATCTCTCCTTTCGTTTTCAAATGTAAACGTCTTCATATACAGTAATATAATCAAACTGCATTATCTTTAACTCTATATTGGATAAAAAGTCGGAATATCTGAGCAATGATTTGGATTACAGGGTTGGGGGGGGGGGGGGGGTTAAATATTAATAAAATATAATCGGGACTGTCAACCCACTCCAACATATCTCTGTTATTCGAGATATATCGGTTTACGAGATAATGCAATTCGAGATAACAGATATCTACTGTATATACGTAATTTTATAAAGATGCATACAGATACATCCTTATAATTTACAAATAACAGTCCGTACATAGGGAGACATTTCAATTAGGGGGGGGGGGGGGGGGGGGGGGGACAGCTATATATTTCATTACTGTACATTTTCTGTAGTATACTTAGTGTTTTCTACAGAATACTAGTACTATTACATGTATATCTGCAAAAATTTTCCTACGACCATAAAGAACATTTAAGAGGATAAATTACATTTAGAAGAATGCATTTCCAATGAATTCAGCATACAAACATCTTTCATACCTTTGGGGTTATTTCCCTTTGGGCTTCATTAGATTTCTGTATCGCCAGGTTTCCCCCTGCAACTTTTGCACGATTGGCCGGGCATCTGAGTGTGTATTGGACAATTTCTGATCCAATCGTGACTTTAACCTGCAGTTTCTGAAAGTTAAAACAAAGCACTTAATTATAGGAGAAAATTATATTCAGTGTGTACGTCTAATACAAGAATTATATTATGAATTTATAGATATTTAAATAAATATTTTTCTGATCAATAGATACCTTGTGTATTTTCTCTTTCTTATTGTCCATATGTTGTTGGTACATGTATGCACTCTTTTGTGGGTCATAATTCGCGAATCGGAATTGTGAAGTTTTCACCAACTGTCCATTTTCTGGGCTAAAAGCAAAAATAAAAAAAAGTTCAACATGTATACCTGATATTTAACATGCACTAAACTGTAATTTTGCTCTTGAAATGTACAAATGATATTTGTCGTTGTACGACTTAGAAGGGCAAAAGACAATTTTTTTTCTAGAGAATGTAACATTTTCAATTATAAATCATTTACCTTGCGGCAGCCTGTTTTGTTGCAAGAATAATTAAATCGCGCACAGTCTCCCGAGCAACTCTGCGATATATCTGTTGATTAATAATACATAACAATTAATTTAAATGTGCTCCTCTGCACTCAAAGTTTTCAAGGAGTCAATTTTGCTATTCCTGGTAGAAAAAAATTGTGCTATCTACGGTATAACGATTTTTTTTCTTCCAGGAAAGCATTCGTCATATTTTCAGCATTATTTATTTAGTAGAGTACTATTCTTTTATTTTACCTTTTTCATCGTTATTTGCTGCTCCGCGTAGAAATCCTGTTTTGCAATTACATGTATTTTGTCATCAGAAGCTCCGAGTAAAGCAGGGGGCATATTTTTCTCTTCTATGGCACTGCTGAGAGGAAGAAACAAACACGCTTTATTCTCCATGTAGACTTATCACAGGTTTAATAGAATTGGTATAAATAACATTTGTAAAATACGCTAGTCAATCAAAAAGTATAATTTTAGTGTCTGTTTTACATACCTGTACTCAGTAGTACAATATCTGTAGACCTTGAAAATGACCTCATCAAGGATGCTTTGCACTATCTGAAACCAATTTAATTAAATGTTTAACTTAATGATCAAGGATTATATACTAGTATAGCGTTACATAGATAAAAATTAAATGATGTCACATGTAAGTCGGTAATTTAACTTATAACAGTTTAAGAGTTTAATGAATGTTTTAGAATTTTCCTCACGACTTACCGTCGATGAACTTGCCATTGTTCAAAGAACAACGTAAGAAAATATGCAACTAAACGGTAACCAAGAATAATGCAAAAGGCATTATGTCGACATTGGTATTATGATGTCACTGGTATTATGACGTCATTCAATTGAAAACTATATGTTTTAGAAAAATAGATCAAAAATATGGAAACATAAGCTACCATTATATGATAAAAATTACCGGAAAAAAAAGATAATTCATGTCTACCCCTATAATAAAACTAAGGATTATGATTCTCAGAATATGACAGTTGCTGATTGCATACAATGTTTTACAATAAAGACTAGTTACCTTTCTTTATCTGGATTAAAACAGTTAACTCGAATTCTCTCGATCGTTATCATTACTATGAGATGCGAGTTTATCTCAGTAGGTACGTCTGAGTAATAACCATTTATAAAAATTACATGCATTTGATAAAATGAAGATACTTCCTACCTCTTCTCCCTTTACTTCCATGATCACAAACAATCTACAGCCTGGAGTTTTGGTTATACACGACCAATGTCAACCGAAATCAGCTGATTATGACGTAAGTAGCTTTGTTACGTGAATTAAACAGTGATGTCATCGGCATTTTCATGAGAGAGAGAGAGAGAGAGAGAGTCACATGAAGTCGTATATATCAAAAGATTGATTTATTGGATACGGTTTATCGCCGAGTCGGCAATTTTTCAGCCATCAATAGAACATGAAGCTTAAAGAAAAACTTTTTATAAACAGATATAAACCTGTTTTAAATGCTACCTAATGATATTTTGTATCAGAGATATACTTTTCTCACAATATCAGAAATATTAAAAAAAAAATAAAATAAAATAACAGGGTTCTCCGGCAAGGGTCTAGGAGATAATTGATTGATTACTCAAGGTGAAGCCCTAGTAATTAAGTGTTATAACTTTTTGAATTGAACGACGGTAGAATTGTTTGATTAAGTTTCAGTTAGCATGGTTAGAGAGAATTTGTCTGTTTAGATCTTTACTGTGTCGCATGCATGAAATTGAATCGTTACTGTGTCGGAGAAAATTTTACTGTGTCGGGAGCAACACAGTAAAACAGGTCATGGAGAACACTGAAATAACGATTTTATTTGAACATTTGCTTTTGTTTTAATTATTATTAAAATATAACAATATACTGTCCTTTCCACAACTTTACATTATCAGTATGAGAAATTTATTTTTCCAATTTCCCAATATATCCTGGTGTGGCAAAAGGTTATCTAAGGAAGCTATACACTTTGTTAAATTAAATCACAAAATTAGGTTAAATTAACCTTCTCTAATGAAATGGTTTTCAAATAGATAATCCAGAAAACAACTTTGAAGATTTTAAATAGCCTAGAAAAGTATCTCCTGTGTTCACATGTGGTGTAATCTGAAAATAAAAACTTTTAATTAGCAGTTACTAACATCCTGAAAAAAGCTGAGATATATATATATATATATATATATATATATATATATATATATATATATATATATATATATATATATATATATATATATATATATATATATATATATATATATATATAAGAAAAAGACGAATTTGAAATAAAAAGTCAGTTGCTTCCGTTGTACGTACTTAAGTTTATCATGGAGTACTCTTTATGCCTTTCTGTCTTTGTGGCAGTTGTCCTATAATGTTTGAGGGAAATAGCTATGTTGAGCTGTGCTCAATAACGCCAATTCTTTTTCGAATTTAACTACTGATAGAGTGGGTAATCTTAAGGAAATCTTAATCAATCAGGATTTGACTCAGAAAATACAACTCGTGCAAAATGTCATACAAGTTATGAACGATGTTCAAAAATTAAAGAATGATGTTCAGCGTCTGGAAACGGAAAATTCCCATCTCAAAGCAGAAATTAAAAACAAAACAGAGAGTAAGTAGTTACATAATCTTAAAAATACATAGAAAAGCATATATATTTACTTTTCTTTTTACAAAACAAATGAATAAAAGCATTATTTTATATATACAGTATATATACCGGTATACATGGCGAAAACGTTTGCAGTAAATGTTTTGTGATCTTTTTGGATTTTTACTTTTAAATACATTGTATACCAAAAAAAAAAAATAATAAAAAAAAATACCGATTCGTCATTCTGTTTTTGAAATTAAATATAAAATATTTTTTAAAATAATTTTAGGCATACAAGTGATGAGTGATGTACAAACCTGAGAGACTGATGTGCAAAGTCTAAAGACAGAGTATTCCTATATTAAACGAGAATTTGGAAATCACGTTGTCAGTACAAGAAATGAACGTACGTATATTTGATTTGTGATTTGATTATGTCAGTAGGAAAAAAAAACCAACATATATAAAAAAAGTTTTGTGTTGGTAAAATTTAGCATAGCATATTTTTATTATCACCCATTGAAAAGCATTTTAACATGAAAGTTTTATTTTGCATTCTATGATAAAAAAAGAAGGAAAATTATATTTAAAAAATGAAACCCATAGTCTATTTTTTAATTGTTTCTTGGTCAAAAGTATTCAAGACACAGGGGTACATTGTATAATGAAAAATAAATTGAAAGAAGATGGGTGAATAAGGCGGGCAGAATGCCTATTGTGCAACAGATAAGAAGTCAAAATTTTAATCTCAATTAAATCCAAATTTTACTTGATATTTCATCTAACATTAAAGTATATACTTTATGTAAAATCTCTAGAATTTACAAAAATCTCACAAAGACTGAAAATATTTGTCTATGAAAAAGCATATACACACACTTAAAAAAAAACCCAAAAAGATCATTTTCTCATACTTAAACAAAATTTTTCAATATGGGTGGTTCCTCTCTCCATTTTTTTGAAAGAGGATCCTAAAAGTGTGCAATAAAATACACATTTTTTGGTTTTCAAAAACATGGAGCGAAGACCCACTTTACCTTAAAAGTACACTTTTATGACACAACATTGGCATCTTTCCGAGAAATACTTCAAGTCCATTAAGTCGCGGGTCATATCACAAACATGATTTAAATGCCTATTATCACCATGAGTGTTGTAGCATAGTGGTTAACGCGTTAGTAACTTCCGGTTTGCTTATTGTAGTGAGCACGAAGGAATTAGGCTCCGCATAAATTGACCTTTTGTGTCAACTGTAAGTAGTGAATTCTTGTCTTCTACGTTTTAGTGGGAGGCATAGTGTATATATGTTCATATTTTGTTAGTTTTTGACTTGAACACTGTAAACTATTGAACAATTAAAGAGTGTTCGAGATGCCTGCCACGTCTAGTGGCGGCCATCTTGGCGGATCCAATAATTTGAAACCATTCAATTATAGAAAGTATTGTAAAGAGAACACCGTTATTGTGAATGTCAAAGATAACTCTAATGTGAGACCCGATGAAATAATTAACTTCATTCACGAAAATTGTGGTATTGGGTCCCTTTACGCATGTGTGCCAAAGTCTGGTAATTTGTATGAGATAACTCTAGACGGAAAAGCACCAACACAATATTTGTTGGAAGGAATAAAGGTCGGAAATGAAGTTTTTCAGTGCTATGAAGTGGTTCAATCTACTATTATTGTAAGTTTTCTCCATCTGCCGGCTTACATTGAAGATAGTGAAATCGAACAAACACTAAATACAATGGGTGTGGAAATTCTATCGCCTATAAATAGACGATTTTACCCGGGCACGACCATAGCCGATGGGACCAGGTATGTAAGGGTGAAACTCCCTACTAATATGTCCTCCTTCCCATATACATTGAAGTTCGGCAAAGAATATTACCGATGTATACACAACGGTCAAATAAAGGTGTGTTCGCTGTGTTATGCTAGCGATCATTTATTTAGGGCATGTCCACAATTCACCTGCTTTAAATGTAAACAACAAGGTCACTACGCTCGAGTGTGTAAATCCAGTTTGTGTGATCAGTGTGGTGAATGGACTCACAAATGCCATTGTCGCTTGAGTGATCACAGTTACGACAATAGTAGTGGAAATTCTGAGGTCGAGGACGAAGAAAACTTATCGAATATGGAAGCAGATGAGGTACACGAAAGGGAAGTAGACGTCGACGTTATGGAAAAAGAAACCGAGATCACGGAAAAGACCGAAACAGGATTGATTCAAGACAAAGAAATAGAAACTTCACAGGAAGTAAGTAAAACCATCGATCCAGAGAACTCATCGGAAAAAACAGAGGAAAATACAGAAAGCGTTGAGCAAGAGGAAATGTGTACCGCACAAGGCCCCAACAAGTGCGCACAAGAAAGTGAAGCGATTCACAATAATGATCAAAAGATGGGTAGTGAATTGTCAGAGGAACAACTTTCGGAGACAGACACAGACACCGGGAATGAGGTGGTAATCACCGGAAAAAAGAAAAGAAAGAAGAAAGTAAAAAAGAAGGTTAAGGCAAAGAAAAATAAATAGAAATGGAGATGTTACCTTCTTTCTTTTTCATTCTAATGGTTTTGATCACCTCCTGGAACCGTAATGGGTTACGAAATATAGATAAAATGAAAAATGTTGTCAAATTATTTGAAGAAAAAAAATTCGACATTATTGCATTGCAAGAAACTCATTGGGATGATGACTTAATTCAAAATTACAAACATATATGGAACGGAAAAATCATCTACAGTAATTTTGTTGCGCCAGCCAGAGGTGTAGCTTTTTTAATAAAGAATAATATCAATTCGAATGTAGATTTTGTTCAAAGTTTTGATGGAAGATTTTTACATGTTAGGTATAAAGAAAATGATGAAATTATTGACATCATCAATATATATGCACCCAATGATATTAAAGAAAGAACAATGTTTTTTCAAAGAATTTTGAAAGTTATTCCTGTTACAAAAAATCTTATAATTATGGGAGATTTATAACACACTTAGTGAAGATGATAGATGTGGAAAAACAAATCATAAATATGACCAGAGTTATAAAGCATTAATAGAAATAATGAACAAGTTTCATGTTATTGATATATGGAGAAAAAGAAACGAAAGAGAGCTTGTATTTTCATGGAAACGTATTATTGAAGAGAATCTTGTACAAAGCAGAATTGATTATATATTGGTCTCTAACGATCTACGTATGTTTGTTAAGAATATTATGTATTCAAATACATCTTTTAGTGATCATTCAATGGTAGTTTTATACTTTAGCACTGATGTGTGTGAAAGAGGCCCAGGTGTATGGATTCATAATAATTATTTATTGTCGGATGATATATACAAACAAAGAATAACAGAGATTATTGAACAGGAAAAGTGTTGTCAGTTATATAATAAGTCATTATTAGTGTGGTGGGATAATTTAAAATATAAGATAAAGAAATTTTCACAATGTTATAGCAAGACGAAAGTAAAGGAAAAGAATAGAGAATTTTATAGAATTCAAAATGCTTTACAGAGAATGTCACAAAATATTGCAAATGGTAGTAACACTGATATAGAAAAATATGAAGCATTAAAAATGGATTTGGCAGAATTAGAAAATGAAAAATGCAGGGGAGCTATTTTGAGGTCAAAAGCTCAATGGGCAAATGAGTCAGATAGATGTACAAAGTATTTTTTGAATTTAGAAAAGAAGAGACAAGAGTCTAATACAGTTAAAGAATTAATTGATGAGGAGGGGATAATTAAGAATGACACTGATTCTATTTTAAATTTACAGTATCAATTTTATTCTAAGCTATATTCTTCAGTTACAATTGAAAGTGAAAGTAAGGACAAGCTTTTATCTTTTGTTGACAAAAAACTTAATGAAACAGATGTTGACATGTGTGAACAGGCTATTGACTGTGATGAAATAGATAAGGCTGTTAAAGGAATGTCAAATAACAAAAGTCCAGGTTCAGATGGGTTAACTGTTGAATTTTACAAAATGTTTTTACCACAACTCTCGTCTGTTTTATTTAAAATTTATCAAGAGATAGAAATGCAAGGACATTTGTCACATTCTATGAAGATGGGTATTATTACATTGATATACAAGAAAAAAGGTGACAAACGATGTTTAAAAAATTGGAGACCAATTAGCCTACTTAATGTTGACTATAAGATAATAGCGAGAGTAATGGCTAATAGGTTAAAATTTGTATTGCCAAACATTGTATCAGAAAATCAAACTTGTTGTATTATTGGTAAAGATATTGCTGATACGTTGATTAGTATAAGAGATATTATAGATATGGTTGAAATGGATAATTTAGAAGGATATATAATTAAAATAGATCAAGAAAAGGCTTTTGACAGAGTAAGTCATGTTTATTTACTTGATGTTTTGAAAGTTTTTGGATTTGGACCAATTTTTAGAAAATGGATTAGTATATTCTACACAGATATTTACAGCAGTGTTAAGAGTAATGGATTTTTAACCAAATATTTTCCGATTAAAAACTCTGTTAGACAAGGTTGTCCTATTTCTGCATTATTGTATGTATTGTCATCAGAACCTTTAAGTTGTTATATAAAAAGTAATACAAGCATTGTAGGAATTCCTATACCAATGTCTAATGAACGTGCATTGATGTTTCAACATGCTGATGACACAACTCTGGCAACATGTGAGAAGAAATCTATTTTTGAAATTTTGAAAATGTTTGATTTATATGGAAAAGCTTCTGGTGCAAAAATCAACAAACAAAAATCTGAAATAATGTGTATTGGAACCGCAAAGTTATTGGAGCATGAAAAAGATTTACTATGTATTTCAGAAACAAATGTAATGAAAATTTTAGGTATATATTTTGGAAAGAACAAACAAGAATGTGAAAACCTAAATTGGAGAGACAAAGTGCAGAAAATAAAACAATTATTGAATTTTTGGAGATTAAGAGAGTTAACAATTCAAGGAAGGGCAGTAGTTATAAATACATTATTTATGTCAAAACTGTGGTATTTTTTAAGTGTGATATCAATGCCTAAATGGGCTATAGAAAGTATTCAAAGGGAATGTACACACTTTTTGTGGAATTATGGTAAACATTTAGTCGCATACAAAACGATTATTGGAGAAAAAAGAGAGGGTGGTTTGAATGTTATTGATATATATGTTAAAATGTTGGCCTTCAGACTGAAGAATTTAGCAAAATATTTGTGCAATGAAAAAAACTTTTTATGGAAGTTAACATGTAGATATTTTTTGTCAAAAATTTGTGGTTTGAGAGCAGGGTTTGAATTATTTTTATTAAGATTTAATAAGAAAGATCTTCAGTTTCTCCCTCAGTACTATAAGGAGATGATGGACGCTTGGTATGCAATAGAAGATAGTATAGAATACAAGAAAGATAATAATGATATTTATGATTATTGTTTATTTTGTAATCCACAAATTGTTACAAATAGTAAGATGTTGAAATGGGATCATTTTATAAGATCAGGTATTTCGCATGTAAAAGACATTACTTATGAGGTTATACCTGGTTTTCTACCTGTTTCTTGTATTATAGAAATTATTCAAGAGGAGAATCCTGATATAGATGTCAAAACTATCAAAGACAATTATATTTGTTTGAAATCAGTTATTCCAGATGAATGGAGAAAATATGTTTGTGAAACTGAATATACAAGGAATAATTTTGAACCTGATTTTTGTATCAAATTCAAAGATCAAAATATGGTATTCAATTCCTGTACTGTACGGATATTTTATAGATTACTTATTGCAAAGCTTTTTTTACACCCTGTTTCAGACCAATTCTGGTGTAATAAATTTCAAATGGTTAATCAAGATGACATAAAACAAAGATGGTTGATATTATGGGAACCATTTAAACCGCCAGATATTATAGAAATAGATTTTAAAGTCTTTCATAATATTATCTTTACGAATGAAAAATTATTTAAAATTGGGAAGATTGAGTCTAAAGTTTGTGCTGTTTGTGAATCAGGTACTGAGGACATATTTCACCTATTTTTAGAATGTAAAGAACTACAAGATTTTAAGAAGAATTTTGTTATTTATCATCTAGAATCGTTCTTGAAAGACTGTGAAAATAGTGTGTATAATACCTTGAATTTTGAAAATATTTTTTTAAACGGTTTTTCAATGAAACTCAAACATGTTAATATTTTCTTTCTGAATTTTTTTCTGTCAATGTGTAGAATTTCAATTTACAAAAGAAGACAAATATACTTACATTGTGGCAAACTTATTGATGTTACAAAATTGTGCAAATGTATGTTGAGACATTATATTTCATATTATTTTCATTATTTGTGCATTGATGAAAATAGAAAACATATGTTTTATAAAAAGTTTTTGAACAGAAATCATATTGTGAAAGAAACGGAAGGCATACTTTTATTTATTTTTTAAACAAACTTATGTGATTTTTATTGCCCTCTTTTTAATATTGTTGTAACTTAGTTGTTATAAGTGTATGCAAATGAAGATGAATATATCAATAAAAGAGAAAAAAAAAACAAAAAAAAAAACGCGTTAGTCTCAAAGCAGTATGCTATTGATACGTCGGATATTTATTGCTAGGGTTCGAATCCCACGAATACCATCTAATAATTTTATGAAAGAAAAATGTTTTTACGAGATTTTTTCTCTCTCAGAAAAGTTTTTTACGCATAATATTAAAAAATTTCAATAATTAGAAGTTGATTTAAATACTAAATTCACATATTGAATAGGATTTCTTAATACATGTATCTGACGCTATAAGCATTCTGCCCGCCTTGTTCGCCCATCTTCTTTTTTTTTTAAACCGAATTCTGTTACGGCAACAGAAGGATATTGCGAAAAGTGACGAATTAAAGACATTATCTACATTGTGCATAACATACCAGGGTAAAACAACTTGTTTTTTTATGGAGTAAAGCTATGACTTACAATCCTTCTTTTTAATTCTCAATTTAATTCAAATTGTTTGTTTTTATATGTTGTTCAACGTCCCTTTTGTGATTTTTTTCCCACCAATATGGTGGTGCCTGTGGCAAAGCATGGTGAAAAATTTTCCCTGAAAGAAATCCAAAGTACTTTCAAATAAAGATAAGTCATAGAACTTAATTAAATACATGTATTGGCTTTTCCAATTTTCCTCCATTTTTCTTAAATTTAAGGGAATTTTAGTTATTAATTTTTATATGCTTCCTATATTTAATTTCTTCTTCACATATGGTGAGGAAGTCATATAAAGATACAAAATGATACAAACATAATATGTTCTGACCGTTTAAGAGAGAAAAATCCATTTTACCGATTTATTTTGCTCAAATTTGTTCTTAGAATTGGTAGATTCAAACGCTTAAAATGTATTTTGTTTAATCTTTTTTTAATTTGTATTTTATGTATCTTAAATCTTAAGTTTATTGTTAGTACCTGGTAATTTCAGTCAATTTAGAAAATTCCTTTTGTCTTTGGTTGTTTAAAAAAAAATTAAATAAATTTCAATTCATTGAAGCAGGAAAAGAGATATATTCATACTCTGCTGTTCCGCAAAAATATAGTCCCTGCTAGATTTCAAACCCAATTTCAATGATGATTTATCACGAGAAGGAAAGAAAATATATTTTAAATCCCTCACATTTTAGTATGTAAGACATATAAGCAAATATGCTTTGAATAATTCATTTAGTCAGAAGCAAGACAGGAATCCATCCTCCTTACCAATTTATTTAAATAACTGTAAAGTAAAGGCCGCCATCTTGCGCGTGAATATTTTTTTAAACTTAATTATTTGTTATCTAAATTTGCCAGAACATTGACTAAGTCATGCAATTTTTTTAAGTGCAGTAATTTTCAAAGTTCCTTGTAAGAGACGCCACCAACTGTCTGTAGAGAACTGCAAATTTTGACCTATACTTGGTATTTAGTCCTATTTAGCAGGGAGGGATCTTTTTCCTGCCAGCACATACTGCTACCCGGGTCCTCCTTTTATACCGTTTCATCCGATGACTGGTCTCTAAGTTAGGGTCACTACTTACTCCGCGAATCTATGGAGGAGACACTCTTATCACTGCGCCACGCGTGGGTTAAATTCAGTTTTGCATAAATAGTAAAGGGACTTTCTTTGGTCAACTCTGTCTCCCAGTAGATCTATCGCTATGATCCTCAATTGACGTGCAGCGTCTATCTTCATTAAAAAAATTTCACATTCATCTTTTTTTTTTTAGATCCAATAGGCTAATACAACAATCTTGCAAAAGTCATCCTTACTTTGGGTATTGAAATTCAATGTACAATACTACTAGTAAATGTTGTCCTTTTTCAAAGGGATATGATTAGAAAAATGTTAAAATAAGTGTTAAAATCAAAATTACCTTTTATAACAATATATACATGTACTCTAATTTAATGTTTCAGGTTGCACAAAGACACTGGCATGCCTGGATCAGAAAACACACGTTGCATTTTATGTGTTCTACTCTTACAATTTCAAAGCTCTAACCATTGGGACAACTTTAGTCTTTGATTCTGTAGTCACAAACCTTGGCAATGGGTATAATAAAAGAACTGGAATATTTACTGCTCCATCATCCGGGGTCTATACCTTCACCTGGACAGTGAACACAGCAGGACTACACGTCGCTGGACAATCTGGTCAATATGGCGAAATGAATGCGTCCATAAAACAAAACGGAGTAACAAGAGGGTCGATTAAAGCTGATTCTGAAAGCGAGAATAATGACGAAGCTGCTACTGGTTTTGTTGTTTTGAGTCTAAAAGCTGGGGACGAAATACAGGTTGTGTCTGATAAGTTAAACGGTCAGGGATCTATATACAGCGACAAAAAATATGGCCGTACTACTTTTTCTGGATTTCAGATTGCATGACTCCTTTGTAACATGATTCATGTTTTTTATGTCACTTGCTTACAAATATTCAATGGAAGGAAAGACAATCAACTCTGTAACGTTGTGCAAGTCGTCTTGTGCTTATGAAATGGAACGTGGTCATATGAATAGGCATCGGTCAATTAAAAAAACCCTCTATTTTGGGTGATGAGGATGGACCCTCTTTTCCGAGTTTTCTTTTTTCTTGAAATATAAATATTGGAAATGTTCCAACTGTAAAAATTTAGAGGGAGTAAACATACGCATATACATGTATGAGTGTAAGAAGGCAGAATTTTAAATAAAATTTAAACATTTAAAAAAGAACTTGTTTAGTAATTTTCTTTTCCTCGATTGCTTCATTAAATGAAAATCGTTTATGAAATTATTTTTATATCGCAGTATATGAATTTTGAACATTATAGAAAGTTTACAATTTCTTTATATTTTAGAAATTTATTATTTGCATCATTTTCAATGATACCGGTATTATGCCAAAAAATTATATATCAGTTTAGGCATCAATTTTGTGTTTGTATCATCTGTCCTTAAGGAATAGGTACTCAGGAAAAATCAAGTTTATGGTTCCTCTCGGTAGAAAACTAATTCCTTCGCCGCCTCGGGAAATACTTTCCTTCCATGGAGAACCATGAACTTGCTATGTCACGAGTACCCATAACTGTATAGTTATTTCCATTCATATGTCGACTCGATATATCCCAGTGAGCTCTAAATAAAACACACAACAGAGTCTTTCACATATGTTTTATGTTCGGATGTTTGATTGACTATGGACTACATGTATAAGGGCTAACTAACAACTAAATTGTATGTCAAACAATATTTCAGCTTTTTTCATCGTCAACGTTATCTATTTTTTGTTGTAATATTTAGCTATCTCCTGCATATGAAGTTTTTGTTTACTAACTTACTCGATACACAAGAGCGCATTCTGAGTATGATAAATTTTTTAAACCGACGCAGGCTACTTGCAGATAAATTGATGTTACAAGGATTTCAACAATCTCGCTCCAAGTTGCAATTCCATTGTCGTACATGTAATGGCCTTGTAAGCATATATAGCCTATCATGGGTTTTGGTTGAAATTTTTCATAACAATCATTTCGCTTTTGTTTTTATACAGAATTTAACTACGGAATAATCCGTCTTCCTGATAAATACTCACGGCGGATGTGACCGGTCGACAGCAGATGCTTACTCCTCCTAAGCACCTGAGTTCTGTTCAACAGAGCTAGCTCTAGCGAACATTTCTATTGGAGGTATAAAGATGTTTGGCGAGCGTTCGCGAACGTTCGTTTTGTTGAACAGGATTGCTGTAAATGAGTTTTTGGTAATTGTCTGAGAGGCCTCATTAATAAGTATTTAGCCTTTTTAACATGTTCTTCTATTAAAGTGTAAAGTGTAAATAAAGCAAAGAAGTGGTAAACACTGTTGTCTTGGAATTAGAGAAACAAATAATTATTGACACTATGTAAAAAGGAATGTGTAACAAGAAAATAATCATATCGTTTAGTGGAAATACTCTTTACATTGGACTTGAAATGGCGATACCTTAATTCCTGTCAATTATTTTATGAAATTGATAATGATTAGCAATAATTATAATATACATGTGCATGTAAATGTCCACAAGGGAGAGAGAGAGAGAGAGAGAGAGAGAGAGAGAGAGAGAGAGAGAGAGAGAGAGAGAGAGAGAGAGAGAGAGAGAGAGAGAGAGAGAGAGAGAGAGAGAGAGAGAGAGAGAGAGAGAGAGAGAGAGAGAGAGAGAGAGAGAGAGAGAGAGAGAGAGAGAGAGAGAGAGAGAGAGAGAGAGAGAGAGAGAGAGAGAGAGAGAGAGTCACATGTAGTCGTATATGAAAAGAATATGAAACCAAAAAAAAAAACCTTTTACTAACAGAATTATTAACCTGTTTTAAATGTTACATAATTATAATTTGTATACTGCAAGAAAAATATATATCTGATACAAATTTTATCAAAAAAATTAAAAATATATATATCTGATACAAACTTTTCTCACAGTATATGTCAGACATATTTGGAAAATAAGAAATGATTAGATAACGATTTAAAATGGACTTTTGTCTCCTATTGATAAAAATATACCGTCCTTCAAAGTATCAAGTAAGTTCCTGAACGACTTTACATTATCAGTATGAGAAATCTACTTTTTCGAATTTCGCAAAACGTTATGGAGTTACAAGAGTTTTTTCTGAGCTATGTACTCTCTGCAATTAAATCTCAAAATTACTTTAATTGGATGTTATCTAATAAAATGTTTTGCAAAATGAACTGCAAATTATGTGATACAGAAAACAACTTTTCTTTAAGATTTTAAACAGCCTTGAAAAGTAGCTTCTGGGTTTAGAAGTGGCCCAATCTGAAAATGAGTGCTTCAAGTGTGACTAACATCCTGACAAATTTCTGATATTGTAACGCTTCGGAACGCCTGCCTTGTGTTGAGAACAAAAACTTCGGTGTAAAGTTTTATAATTTTATTCAGTAATACATGAACAGCGAAAATAAATAACAATGTTTGAAATTCACACAAGTCTCAACCCTCGGGACATAGATCTAAGACCAAAATCAGTACAACTACTGATATAGAACTGGGCAACTGGCACTATTTCCAGTAAATTTATGATTTAAGTAAATTCCCCCGACCAAAATAAAACGTAAAGGCTCTCTATAAATGACTTATAATTAATTTACAAATAAATATTCCCGCTACTAGTACAACTACTAGCACGCAGCAGAAATATTTCCTAACTCCTAAACTGGGCTAAAGAAGATAAAAATAACTAGTTCACAACTAGTAATTATAAATAAAACTAGTACAATTACTAGTAATATTAATTTAGCCTAACCTAACATTATGTATTATGTACTTCAGTCACTTAGATACTGAAATAGTACACACCTTAAATTACTCTGGACAAAACTGGCAACCTTTCTCTAGGTCACAAAGAAAACAAGAGAGCAAACGATATTCAGCATCTGAGTATTTATAGAATTAGCAAAACCCGCAATAATTCATAACCAATCATAATTAATAATTCCATCCCGTAAATAAAAATCAGCCAATCAAATGTAATCATCGTCCCGTAACGAAATCTCACTCTCGTACATCGTATGTAAAATTATTACAATACGTAAATAAATTAAATAAATTCATAAAACATAAAGTTACACTTTTAAAAGCTCATTTAACACTGTTTAACATTTAATTTAAAAGAATTTACAATCAAATCTTCCGCCGAAATAACTCCAGTAAAAATAGATCACCGTGAAGCATCACGGGAAAATACACAAGTAAACAAAGTATGGCGGCGGCAGAAGTTTCAGTGAAACGTGTGTACTCGAAGACCATAAAACATCGATCACACAAGAAATAAGGTAACTTTAAGACAATTCTAAATTACAACACAACTTCATAAGTACGTATGTACAATTTAGCCAACAAAAAGCGTGTAAATAAATAGCAAGACGATGTCTGACATTCAACACATCGAAACACAAGAAAATGGCATAGATCTCCGCTACATTTAAACAGTTGTCAACCAACAATTAAGAAATAACTCTCGCTGGACATTTCAACATTCCATGCAAGAATTGATGAATGAATTTAAAATATGCATGAAAGTGCTTTAGAAAAATACCAAGATAAAAAAAATGAGATTCAAGAAAAATGGGGGAGGGATCGTTACATTTTGCCCCTCTCTAAGAGTCCAAGTCCCTTTGGACTCAAAATACAAACAATAAAATTCACATACAACAATTAATTAAAACAATCAATGACATATTTCAATATTCTACTTTATACTCTACACTCGATACACATATACTTCCATGAACACTGAACAGTACAGCTAATCTATACACACAAGGGAAACTACTCAGAAACAAATGCTGTACTTCACAAAGCTTACTAAAAAAAAATGTATCAACTCCTCTCAAAAATTCACATCTCTAGGAATGAATAAATCATAGAATTTTACAAACTATAACACTACTACACCAACCTTCCTGCATATCACTTATCAATATAATAGAAACTTTATACATAACACAAAATTCTGAATTAAAACATGAAGTTCAACATAATTTCATGAAGACAAATGAGCAGAGCACAGTGTGATAAGGTAAGTAAGCTAAAATGTACATAAATTATAATGATTCAATTAATATTTACCGATAATAACTGCCATTTAAGAATGAGTTTATCTTACTAAAATAGATGTACAAAATATTAGCAGCCTCTGAAAAATTCATTATAGATACTCACACATATAAATACAGTGTTCTGATAATGCTAATGCTAACAGTTTAGACATATAAGTATAACTCTAAGTATAACTTGTAAATAACAAGTAATGTACAATCTTCCTAATTTTCATTCACAGGATAACAGAAAAAGACTTTAAGAGGATGGACACTTGGCAAGCAAAAATATCAAAGGTAAATAATATTACAGAAATGAATCTCATTACAATGCTTAAAATATCAATTTTAGAAAAATTACATATAAAATCCACAAACCTTCCCAGTTCTAACTTATCTCCCAATTAATTACAAATATTAAAGATGAATATTTTCCTAACTTAAATTACTTATACATGTACTTACTGCTCTAATAATATAATATAAATCTAATGTCTCTTGTAAGGCCTACTGAATCTACGGTCTGGCTGGAAAAGATCATCCAATGGCGAGTGGTGCTCTGTAGCCCTGTGTGCCGGCTTGGGGAGGATCCTCCTAGGAACGGTAACCACAAGATCGGGGACCTTCGGGGAAATGGCGGGGCCATCATGAATGGTGAGGACCAACTCCAGGATCCAACCTCTTCTCTAGGTCTGATATGGTGACCTGATTCTTCTCGATAAACCGCTTCTGCCGGTCAATTTCTTTCTGGAGACGGGCATTCTCCTCCCGTAGGGAAGTCTCCGGCTCCATGGGCTCCTGGATAAAGAATTCTTGTATGAGCTGCTTATCCTCCTCGGTCAGCAGCTCCGGCAGGGATGGTGCTGGAGGAACGGTAACCACAGACTGTAACCTCTTAGGTTGTTTCCTCGGGGACCTTCTGCGGGGAACTGGATTGTAGCGCTCACCCTCGCCGGGGCCATGGCTTAGGTTTAGACATGCCCTCTCTTCCCAGCCGAAGACACTCTTAACAATGAAGACATCTAAAATGTAAGAACCAATATCATATTACTGGTAATTATGTATTATATAAACCAACAACATATGTAAATCACAACCAAATTGGTACATCCTTCAAATACATCTCTGCCTACACGCAGGACCAGCTCTAAATTTTCTTTAATTTTTGAAGTCCAGCCTCTTCTCCACTTTTGGTGTCCACTTATGGTGGTTGAGAGTCATATAACTGCCTAGTA